GTCCATCACTAGGATGAACATAGCAGGGACTGGTTTGATCCAATTTTAGATCAATACGCGGAGGCATGATGGCAGTTAGATCGCACAGGCTCAAGATACCATGTTAGAACTCATAACAGCCATGGATGAACCAGAGAAAAGTATAAAGAAGAAAAGGAAGAAGATAAGAGATTATGAGAGCTTGAAGCTACAAACTGAATATTAAACTTAATGATCATTACATCATAATTCTGTTTATATAGTTAGTTGAAATAAAGTTAATGAATCTCCAACTAACTCTAACAAACTAAAAATTCCTAACTGACTTTACAACAACAATTACTAAAGATAGTAAAACAGTTACAAAGAGAATCCAACTTAGGAGGACTTTAATCATGCCTTAATACTACATAGTAAATTCAACACCATGCTTGCAGAAGATGATTCGCTTGTTTGACATGCCTGCAGAAGACGAAGTGGATCCATATTGATAAATATCATAATAGATGGAAGGTGGAAGTTCTTCTTTTTATAAATAATTAAGATTATAATCATATTTAATGTGTAAATTATATTTAAAAAAAGGTGAAGTGGACAAGTGGTAAAGTATTGTGCTCCGCAAAACTGCAACCAATGTGACTCTGGTTCAATTCGGTGAATTCAAAATTTTGGAATTCAGCGATGTAAGTCAAGTGGTCTTCTATTTTGACTTTAACTAACGGAATAAGCGGAAAGGCCGCAAAACTGCAACCAATGTGACTCTGATTCAATTCGGTGAATGCAAAATTTTGGAATTTAGCGATGTAAGTCAAGTGGTCTTCTATTTTGACTTTAACTAACGGAATAAGCGGAAAGGACTAACGTGACGTTGTTTGAATAATTAATAGATCAAATTGGCCTCTTTTAAATTGAAAGACTAATATAGACACAAAGATAAAGATAAAAGACCAAAAAAGATTTTTTTGCCTAATTTCGACATATATTATATTTAAAAACATATTAAAGTATTTATAAAAATTAATATAGTACTTTAAAAAATACTATATTTAAAATAATATAATTTTTTATTGTATTTATAGTAAATATTATAAAATTTTGGGATAGTTATTCCAGGGATCCTTTAAGTTATTTTATCGTAACATATTGATTCTTTAAGTTATTTTTTTTGTAACAATTTGGTTCTTTAAATTTTTTTTTTAGTTTAATTAGTATCTAACTTTATATTTTTTGAATGTTATTTTATGTATTTAGAATGTTAATATATGCATTTTGTTGTAACTTTATGTATTTTGAATGATTGATTTAATATAAAATTGAAAAAAAAAAGATAAAAAATGGTCAACAGCGCACACGTTAATTAATTTAAAAGACTCACTTATAATTTAAAAAAAAAAACTTAAAAGACCACTTTATTATAATAAATTCTCTTAAAGGATCTCTAATGTATTGTTACCTAAATTTTTTATTTCAATTATTGTATAAAAATAATAATAGAAAAGTTCGTTTAAGGCCGGATAATCTCTGAGCTCGGATAGTTATATTTGACTTTAAATTACAATAGAATTTTTTCACTCGGTTTTAAAAAGTCCAAAAATTGTCGAGACCGATATATTTAAAATCAAATAGCTTGAAATCCACTGGACACGATATATTTTATCACAGTCATTAATATTAGAGTCCGAGTCCTCTTAGGCTGTTCCGTGAATTAGTTCAACAAGGTGTTTATATAAGTGAATACTCTCTATATTAATAAGTGAGTAATACAATTTAAAAAAATTATTTGTATCATTAAATATAAGGTCATTGAATTGTGTAAAAACATCGGATGGAGGTGCGAGTTCAAATCCACCACATTCCATTTATTCCCTTTTAAAAAGTGAATTTCAATCAATAAACTATATGACAAAAAAATATAAGACCATCAACGATACTAGTGTATTTACCAAATCATCCAAGACAAATTAACATTATGTGTCTTATGAAACCATGATATATGAACGAACAACAACATCTAAAATAGGGAATAATCATTTCATCGTCAAATTTGATTATTTGCATTCATATATTATACGACTTTAACTTCTTCTTTTAATCAAATCAATTTAAATTGAATGTGTATATAGTGTCAATTATGAATTTTTGCCTAGGATTCATTGCAAAAAAATTTAAGATTGGGATTGAACAAAGCTAAATAATTGGGATTGAACATGATATGATTTTAAAACTAGATTGTAACAAAACAAAAAAATAGAAAAAAAAACATTTTCATTTGAAATTTTCAGAGTTAGTTAGTTTGAACAAAGATTCTGGCTATGACAAAGGTATCATCAACATTAGTATTTACCAAATCATCCTTGTCTCAACCAAATTCAATATCTCAATTATCACATTTAGATTTACCTACATCTCCAAAGTCACTAAATTACACTGTTTCTCCAAAATGGGATCTCATGTATGTCTCTCTCTTTCTTTCTCTTCATTTACAATTTATGAACATTTTATGGTATCTATCCTATGGTGTTAATCAAATCACAATGTATAGCTTATTATTACTAGTGAAGCACGTCGACACCGGTAATAATTCGAAGAAAAAATGACTAAATTGAACATAATGACAAGTATCTATGAAGCACCGGCACCAGACACCGATACTGACACAAACACATTTCTTCAGAGGTGTCGGTACTACATAGTTATCAATGTCTATTTCAATGTTGGATCTGTTTGATTATTGCTTATAAACTATGGCATCAATTGATAAATCTATAACTGAGTTTTCATCAATTGATCACAGAATAAACATCATGACACATTTCTTGGTGTTTGATTTGTAGGGTTCATGTCCTTTGATAAAAAATATCCTTCTTTTAGACTCGGAAGGAAAGAGGGTTGCAGTAAAGTATTTTTCAGATGACTGGCCAACAACCAGTTCGAAACTAGCTTTTGAGAAGTTTGTGTTCTCTAAGACTCTTAAAACAAATGCTCGCACAGAAGGTAAACATTACATTGCAGAGTTTAACACAGATCACAATATATCATCAACTCATAATTTTCTACCATATGTTAGTTTACATGATTATTGTTGTTAAATGGACATGTAAATTTTGTTGTATGCTAAAATATATGCATGTTATAATTGATTTTATTTATGTTTGATAAGATAATGTTATAGATTATTGACAATGGTATTTCTACTTTACAAGAAGTCGATTTTATAAGAATTAGTTAAGTTTAATATAGAACACTTGATATATATACCAAACAAAAGCGAAAATGTCTAATCAGAAATCCAAAATAATTGTGGAAGTTTTGGTCATTATAACATATACAGTAATGTTTTATGTGTGTTCTTTTGTAGCTGAGATAACATTACTTGACGACAATATAATTATTTACAAGTTTGTACAAGACCTGCATTTCTTTGTTACTGGCAGCGACGACGAAAACGAAATCGTTTTAGCTTCAGTTCTGCAGGGACTCTTTGATGCAATCACCCTTCTGTTGAGGTATTATTTTTGTAATTTCATATCTAGATGTAAAATATGGATGCAACTTTATTCATCATACTTCTATTTTTAATATCACTTTTTTGTATCATTTATAGGAATAATGTTGACAAAAGAGAAGCACTTGAGAACTTGGATCTCATTCTTTTATGCCTTGATGAGATTGTTGATGGAGGGTACGCATTTGTTTTTAGTCACATTTTGTTACTTTTATGAGTTCAATTCATTTGTAAAAATCGATATTTCCTCCCTTGAAGGATGATACTCGAAACAAATGGACCACTTATTGCTGAAAAAGTTACCTCCCACAACATCGACGCTGACTCTCCCTTGTCTGAGCAGGTAGAGCAACATTTTTTCCAGTTTACTTTGTCAGTTACGTGCGTTAACATTACAGAGAGACACAACTTTCCGAAATTGGACCCTCTACAACAAAAGTATGGTTTTGAACTTGTAAGTTTCACCAAAACTTCAGATTGAAGACGTGTTTGACCTGCCAACAACACGATACTAACATTATATTGAGGCAACGACACTGACACTAGTGATTGCATACTTTCACTTCTATTTTCTCAAACTATTACCCGTGTCAGTGTTGTGTCTGGTATTTGTGTTAGTGCGACAGGTTGTAGGCATTCTCTCTCTAAATCTAACAGTGCCGACAGCCTATGAAACACCATACTTTATTGTAGGTTGATGAATACTTGTTATCTTACTCATTATCACGGAGTTTTGACGGTTAGATTTTAGGATAAACATATCATTTTGTTTTGATCTTCGGCCTGATTTAACTTTTCATATTGCAGACACTAACTCAAGCATGGGCTTCAGCTAGAGAACATTTGACAAGAACCCTTTTAAAATGACATTTGAATGAATGTTTGAATGAAGAGTTTTGTTATATTTGAAGGACTTCTCTATCTAGACAATTAGTTTTATCCCCTCATTTGTTGTAAGCTACCTAGTTAATTAAGTACCTATTGCAAAAATGCTTCTAGTATGTTTGGATAAACAACCTAATTAAGCGCTTATTGCATAAACACTTCTAGTATAAGCACAACTCATATAAGGGCTTATGTATAAGCTATTAATATAACAAAAGATAAAATAAAGTAAAACTGTTTTTATATAAACTATAAAATGTTTTCGTAAGCTATCTGAAAGAAGTAATGGAAATAAGCTACGTACAGAGCTTATGGATATGTCATAAACTATTTCCATAGTTTTCTTAAGCTATTTATGCTCGTAAAAATAAACTCAAAGATGTCAATCCAAACATGCCCTAAATGATCATGAATGGAATAGATTGAACGATAAATCACTAGCTCAAACCAAATAAATGCAAATATTTAGATGGCTAGAAAAAATTAAACTGCGTCAGCGTTGTCACTTGAGGGTATAATGAAGTAGCTATTCATTCAATCATAAGTTAAAGAATTACACATATTAATATACAGGAAAAAATTCACCAAAAAGCTGGTGGCAATATCATTTATATTTGAAATTTAAAGGATGCTACATTATAACTTTGGAGTTAGAAATACCAGTGGCATGTCCTCGACATGGTGGTAAGACGCTTTGCAATTTCTTAATCATCTGGTCAAGCTCCTTTAATTTGTCCATCTCGCGTGATTGCTTCAAAAACCTCTCCAACATTAGAAATGCTGTAGAACTCATATATCTTCCTCTCTCCAATGTTTGCTTGGAGCAACAAAAAGCCTCTTGAACCAAACCCCTTGAGCATAATGCAGTTACCAAAAGATCTAAAGCATGAGCATGAGGACAATGCCCTTTTTCCACAAGGTAATTCCATAAACTCAAACTCAAATCGAGCTGACGATTTTGACAAAAATACTTCATCAGCGTCACAACCGTCCTTGTTTTTGGAACAAAATTCCTTTGTGTCATTTTCAAATAAAGCTCAGACACACCTTCAATCCCTCTCGACCTCATCAATCCTAAAAACATTGTATGATACGTTACACCATCCGGCTCAATTTGTTTTTCAATCATCTCATCCATCAATGAAAGCGCAGACACAACATCTTTATTTCTAACCAACGTCATAATTAAAGCATTATAAGCACATGAATCAACAACCAAGTTTCTCAAAGGAATCTCATTAAACAACTGCCACGCCTTACCCGTGTTTTGAACCAACCCCGCTCCATGAATCAACGTAGTTACCGTTTCAACCGAAGGAACAAATTTCCTACTCTCCATCTCCTCCAAAAGCCTCAAACCATCGCCAAATCGACCTTTCTTACAATAAGCATCAATCCTAATATTATAAGTCACACTATCCGGACTAAACCCGCGCTTCACCATTTCATGATAAAACAACTCAACAGAAGTCACATCGCCCGATTCTTTAAAACCCAACAACAAAATATTCATACTCTTAGTACTAGCCTTAAACCTATGCACAAACTTCACAAAAACCGACCTAGCCTCCTTCATTTGCCTCTGTGTACAAAAAGCTTTAAGAAGCACATTGAAGTCATCAGTCCCGAATACTCTCCCAACAAACACATTCTCCTCCATTCTCCTAAACCCATCAAGGGTGTCCTCAAAAGATTGATATTTGGCAATTTTGGATAGCATAATGCTCATTGACTTATGAGTAAGCAAATGCGGGTGTGTTTTTGCAATTCGTTGCAACAAGCTCCAAGCTTTATCGAAGTAACGCATTCGAGCAAGGATGTGGAGGGTGATTTCGAGCGAAGAGGGGGATGGGGTGGAGTGAGGATTGTTGATGGCGAAATTGAAAAACTCCAATGCTTTGAGACCATTTGAATGAGAGGCGAATAAGCGAACAAGAATGTTGTGGATGACTGAAGTGGGGATTGTTGTTGATGGAGGGAAGTGGTGGAGGAGGGTTGGGTGAAGGGGTTTATCAGGGAATGGGTGATCATTGATGATTCTTGTGATTGTGTCTATCTCAAGTGTTGGAACATGTGAGTGTGGATTGGGTTTTGTTGTGAAGTGATTGAGTGTGGAACAAAGTAGGTACGAGGTTGTTTTGTTGAGGAGTTTTTGAGTTTGGGTGTTGTTTTTGAGGTTGAATAAGAGTGAGAGCATTGTTTCTTGTGTTTGATTAAGAGCCTTTTCAAAAGAACCACCATGTGTTTGAAAAAATGCGCAAACGAAACAGAGTAATGGGAATTGAGGTTTTGGTTCTGCAGTGATGGAAATGACAAGTTTAAGAAGTAGAAATTTGTCTTCAATTTATGTGAAATGAAAATTAGGGTAGAAGGGGCTTGGCTCGTATGGAAAGTGGTGGCCGTTAGATATCATCTCACCGTCTCAATTTAAATTTGTAATTTATATCATAAGGATTTAATAACAATTATTCTCTATAAAAAATAATGATTTAATTTAGTCATAGATAAAAAAACTTAAACATTTATTTTTGTCCCTAAGAAAAAAAGACAATTTAAGGTTGTTTATCTTTTAAAACAATAATTACATCGCCAGTGAAAATGATGAGTATTTGATTGATTTCCACGTTGCAGTGGATAAGCCTAAGCCTTTTAAGCTTCTACCTCTTGTAAATTTGCAGAACATAAAAAGAAGAACAAGAACAAGTAGAAGCTTGCAGTTACAAACAATGACTTTTGCAAGTACAACCTTAAACTTATGCCGGTCTTTTTCCACCTCTTCTTCATCTCCGCGTCTTTCTGGAAAGGTTACATGCAGAGCCTCTGAATCTCTACCTCAGCTTTCAGTATCTACACTTGACAAAACCCTCTGCCAAATTAAGAGTTCCGGTGTCATAGCTTGCCTCAGAGCCAATAGGTCCTAACTTCCCCTTTCTTATCTGCTTTTTTTTATTTTATTCTTTGTTACCTTGTGTGTGTTTATGCATTCCCTTTTTGCTCAACTGGACAAGTTTTCTTCATGTTAAAGGAGTTAGAGAATTGTATCATTAAGTCCGTAATTGTTCAGGGACATCACTAGAACGGGGTTCAGATTCTGATGAAGGAGAAAATATTAATTTAACTAATGTACTTAACTTTTGTTACAACTATAGTCAATAAAATTTCTCTCATTTTGTTTGTCACTTACATATAGTGCAGAAGTGGCCTTTGAAGCTGCAAATGCTGCAATAGCTGGTGGCATTTCTGTTGTAAGTTTACTTTTCATGCTCTTTAGTTCAACGCCATTATATGGACCAGTTTTGTCTAATCCTAATTGTTGAATTGCTTTAGATGCTATTAGGCTATTTAGAGAGGAAGTTAATCATCCTTATGCCATTTCTAAATAGAGTTTAATGGTTCTGCATTGTCAGTGTAAATTAATTTTACTCCGACATTCAATGAGAATCCATCATATTGCCACATAAGACTATGTCATTAAAGGGTTCCTCTTTCCCTAGGGTGTGTCCAATTGTATTCATAGGGTGTGTCTCACACCTCTAAAAACTCGAAAATGTTCTTGCTGTGTCTGAAGATGCATCTCTAAACACATATAAAATTACATCAACAAAAACGTTGCAAGTGAAACACCCTTTTTTCCAAAAAAGTTGTCCGGAAAAGCATCTCCCCAGGTGGAGGAACGCATTGCCCTCATGCTCATGCTTTAGATCTTTTGGAATGGATCAAATTGTCTGTACTTGGTCTGCAGGTTTTGGAAGAGTAAGTTAGGGTAAATTCATTTGCATGAAATTGTCTGTAATTGTTCAACTCTATATTTTAATGGCGTGCTTCTCACCATCTTTGTTTTCTTCACATGTAGTTGGAGATTGTGATGTCTACCCCAGGTGTGTTTGAGGTTGCTTACATAATCTCATTTGCTTCATCACTTTCCATGTTTTTGAGGTTTAAATTTCATAATATGCTTCTTGGTTTTGTAGGTTCTAGAGAAGTTGGTGAAGGAGCATCCTAGAACGACTCTAGGGGTATGTTTTTCCGTCCTTTAACAAACGATCGTGTGTTCGTTGTTTACGTTTATCTTTTCGTTAAACTCTTGTACCGAGTTGCTGTTCTAAACAGATATATGCACTTTAGGTTGGAACTGTTCTCAGGATTGAGGATGCAAAAACTGCAATTAATGCAGGCGCTAAATTTCTAATGAGTCCTGCAATCGTCAAGGTTTGAAAAATTGTATTCATTCACTAAATGTCAAATCATACTTGGTTGTGCGAAATCACGCTGTTATTTTTTGAATTATTATTGTTGTTGTAATCGACTTTGGATATTATTGATTGTCACATTTCATTATGAATTGCGTCATTTGAAGATATATTAAGATTTCTTACCAGTATGAAGTTTTATTATCAGGATATTTTGGATTATGTTCAAGGTGGTGAAATTTTATATATTCCTGGCGCAATGACTCCAACCGAAGTAAGTGTCATTATTTAGCCTCTTAATAGTTATGTGGCAAGTTCTACGGTGGATTATCTTGATAGGCAGTCCCCCTAAACTTCGACGATGACTGACGTCGGCCCTCAGAAGTATAAGCTCACGGTTCTCTTTCCTGTAACATTTGAGATATAGTGACTTGGTCGGCCTTAGTTTGACAAAAATATAAGAAAACATATATGCTTGCCTCAAAACTTAACTAATATTAGTTTTCCCGTATTTTTGTCAACCCAGGACCAATTAGGTCCCCGTCTCAGTCGGGAGGACAAAGCACTCTGAGCTTCTACTTCTAGAGGACAAAATCAGCCGCCAGTTAGTTTCTTGAACAATTTTCAAGTATCAAGTTGTGTAGAACTTGCCTATTAATGTTCCATCCATTGCATTTTTTTCTAGCATGCATTCGACCAGTCTTTAATGATCATTCTCCGCAAATGCAGATATTGTCTGCGTATGACGCGGGTGCAAAAATGGTCAAGGTAAGCCTTTTCATGTTATGATGATTCACTTGTACCATTTACTGTGATTTATTTAAGACACTAGATTGCATTATATGTTTTAACTTGGTATTTTATATGATAGATTTATCCGGTTTCGGCACTTGGAGGATTTCAGTATATATCAGCACTGAAGAAGCCATTTCCTCATGTTTCAATGGTTGCTTCTCAAGGAATTACAATAGGTAGTTTAGTTTCACATTTTTTCATATTGAGTTTCACAAGTATGCAGATTAAGTTAACACCATTAATTGCTTTGTAGATTCTATGGAAGAATATATTATACGAGGAGCATCATCGGTTGTTTTGTCAGATGCTATATTTGATAAAGAAGCAATTTCTCAATGTAATTTCAGTAAGATATATAAACTTGCACAATCTGCTACCTTGCTGGGTAACCAAGCTGTGAATAGGTGACACTTCTATGAACAAATATACATATTCAATGGATTTTGTTTTCTTTATGCTATGACAACATCATTTTCATTTTCGGAATAGAACAATAATACAATAGTAATGTATTGTTGCTCATTTTGAAAGTGAGAAGAGCCAAGAATGACCAAACACAATGCTTCTACAGAGCTAACATGTGATGTGAGTGATTAATGTCCTAATCAAAGTTTACCAACTAAGGGACTGTTCTATATGATCTTCAAAATCCAGTAATTCTTTGATCTTCTTCACAATACTCCACCTTTTAATATTACCAATATTAGTAGTAGTCAGACTCTTGAATAACCACCATGGAATCTAGTTGAATTTTTAAATCAATGACCTTCATAAAGACCCCGTAGTTCTGCCATATATGTTGAGGTATGACCCAATAACAAAGTAAATCGAACAATCCACCTACCATTCTTATTACAAATAATAGCACCATAACCTGCAACATGGCTATCCATCTGAGTAGGGCTACTAATATTCAATCTCATCCACCAATGCATAGGAGGAGACCAATTTACATTAATTCTTTGTTCAAAAGTGCTCGTACTTATTTTTTGCATGTCTTTTGAATTATGGTACCATTTAATTTGATTGAGGATAAAGCAACGAGGTTTCCAAATGCGTTTATAATTCTCATCATGAACTATTAATTTCGCCAATGCCAAATCCAATAACAAGAAGTAACCCACACATCTCTCCACTTACTATCACTTTTTCACCAATTTTTAGAGTTAAATTAAACTCAACCCATTGTTGCATTGTTTCTTCAAATTGGTCACAATGAGTGCAGTAAGTTTGTAAGAATCCTATTAGATAAGAAGCATATGGTACTAGACCTATATCTATGACGCTGTATAGAATTTTCACCTCGGAATTGTGCGAGCTTAAGAAGCAGATGGAGGAACTATTAGAAAAGAAATTTGTCAGGCCTAGTGTGACATTTTGGGGAGCGCCAATTTTATTAGTTAAAAAGAAAGATGAGAGCATAAGATTATGTCTGGATTATCGACAGTTAAATAAGATCAATATTAATAATCGGTATCCTCTTCCGAGAATTGATGATATTATGGATCAATTGGCGAGAGCTCGCGTTTTTAGCAAGATTAACATGAGGTCAAGATACCATCAGATTCGGTTGAAGTCGAAAGATATACCTAAGACTAGATTCATAACCGATTATGGCCATTATGAGTATTCGGTTATGTCTTTCGGTGTGTCTAATGCACCAAGAATATTCATGGAATATATGAATATGGTTTTTCACCCTAATTTGAATCAGTTTGTCATGGTGTTTATATATGATATCCTGGTATATCCCGAGTTAGTTGAAGAGCATGCAAAACATTCGAGAATCGTGTAGACCTTAAAGGATAAGAAGTTGTATGCAAAGTTGTCCAAGTGTGAATTTTGGTTAAGATACGTAAGTTTCCTTGGACAAGTAATCTATAGTGGTAGAATAGTAGTGGATCTGTCTAAAGTAGACGCAATGTTACAGCGGGAGACACCTAAGTCGGTGATCGAGATAAGAAGTTTTATGGGTTTGGATGATTATTATAGTAGGTTCATAGAAGGTTTCTCGAAGTTGAGTTTGCCTTTGACTCACTTGACCCGGAAAGTTCAAACTTATGTGTGAGATATTTAGAGTGAAGAAAGCTTCCAAAAGCTTAAGAAGAGATTGACATCAACGCCAATCTTGATTCTACCAAATTCAAGTGAGTCGTTTATGGTATATTGTGATGCATCTAAATTGGAATAATGTGATGTGCTTATGTACAAGGGTCAACTTGTAGCTTATGCTTTTAGACAATTCAAGACTCATGAGAGAAATTATCCTACCCATTTGAAATTGTTAGTAGTATTTTTTATGCTTAAAGTATGGGGACATTATCTTTATGGGTTGAGATTTGAGGTTTTCAGTGATCGTATGAGTCTAAAGTATCTGTTTGACTAGAAATAATTGAATATGAAATAAAAAAGATGGTTAGAATTCTTGAAAGATTATGACTTCGAGTTAAATTGTCACCTGAAAAAAGTTAATGTGATAGCGAATGCGTTAAGTAGAAAGTCCTTGCATATGTTGGTGTTAATGGTCAAGGATATGGATTTAATTAAGTGGTTTAGAGACCTAAGCTTGGTACTTCAGCGAATGTCAAAAAGTGTGAAGTAAGGTATGTTGACATTAACTAGCAATGTACTAGAAGAAATCAATTAGGATTAAAAGTTGGATTTGCGCTTGATAGACCAATTGGCACTAACCAACCAAGGATAAAGAATGGACTTCAAAGTAGATGAGAATGAGATTATGAAGTTTCGGGACAGGATTTGTGTTCCAGATATACCAGAATTTAAAAAGTCGATTTTGGAAGAAGATCATAGGAGTAGTTTGAATATTTACCCAGGAGTCACAAAGATGTATCAGGATCTTAAGAGAATATTTTGGTGGCTAAGAATGAAGAAGGATGTTATATAATTTGTGTACTCTTGCTTGATTTAACAGAAATCAAAGATAGAACATCATAAGCCATACAAATTGATGCAACTTTTGAGTATTTCCGAGTGGAAGTGGGATAGTCTCTCCATAGATTTTGTAGTGGGATTTCCAAGAACCAATAAAGGAAGTGATTCATTTTGGATTATAATGAATAGGTTGACTAAGTCAGTTCATTTTTTTTTATAAATATCACTTACTCGTTGCAGAAGCTAGCCGAGATTTCTATAAGTGAGATAGTGAGATTACATGGAATTCCCATTAGCTTAGTTTTAGATAGAGATATGAGGTTCACATTGAGGTTTTGGAAAAGTTTTAAAGAAACCATGGGAACCAAGCTAAGTTTGAGTTCTACTTACCATCCACAAATGAAAGGTCAGACAAAAAGAATTATCCGGTCCTTGGAAGATCTGTTGAGGGCTTGTGTCCTAGAGCAATGAGGTAATTGAGATAGTTACTTATTGCTGATTGAGTTTACTGATAGGAAAAATAGCAAGTGTATCATTTCCCCCCCCCCCCCCCCCCTTGTAATAATAGGGAAATCCCCCGAATGTCGATCTCAAGGACTGCGTACAATTATCAAGCTCAATTCATGTTCAATTAAACAAAAACTTAACTAGAGGATTTGGTTTTAGAAATTGTCACTTAAGAATGAGCAGAAATATAAATATGATTTTTCAGATATGATGAACATGCTAGGGTGTAGTGTGTAATTTGCCCTATAACGATCTTGAATTCTGATTTCTTCAACAAGTTTATAACATTCAACTACCAACCCTTTAGATTATTTTCTCCTAAGTCCTTAGTGAGAAAACCTTTAACCATCCATCCTAAATCCTAAGTCCTTAGAAATATCTGATGGAGTCAATCCTTTATTTTATAAAGAGTGATCTGGTAACTAAAGGGTATCCCTAGTCCTAGGTGATATCTATTATAGTCTATTCTTACAAAATCCTTAACAACCGCGGTCCAACTGGTTGTTAACTATGAATCAATCCTAATTGGTCCGATCAGGAAAGCATAAAAACATTGTACGATTAGATTGAATAAGAAAACAACTTTATTAAAGAACTCAGGAACTCATAATCATTACAGATTCATATCAGGAACACCCCCTAGCATTGGGGGATTTAGTTGTTCATATTGTTCACGAGAATTACAAAAATATAAGAATTAGACATTACAAACGATGAAGAAACTTTGATCTTCAATCGCGTCCGCTCATGAAAGATCTTCGTTCTTCAAGAATCTCATATCATCACTCCTAGACTCTTGAATTTGTCCTATGAAACAAAGGTCCCTTAATTCCTCTTTCAAACTTGGATAAATAGTGAATAATCTATTTGTCTCGGTCGGAAATGTCCAAAACGCCCCTTTAGGTCCCAAATAGTGAAAAATCATAAAAACACTTAAAATTAGTGTCACTGGCCGGCTCGGCCCGTGTCAAGAGATACAGCCGCCCATGTTGGCCATCAGGAATTTTTTCTCTCCAGGCATGATGATACGACCCGTGTAAAGGCGACACAGCTGCTCATGCCAGCCCCTATTTTTCATGCTTTCCAAGTCTCCCCATGACACGACCACCCGTGTCAGGGCTCATGTAGCATTTCCTCAGAAACATTGAATTATGCACTTTTTCTGTCCCGATTTGTCCTGCTTTATTCTTCTGAACCTGAAAACACTAAAACACAAAACCAAAGAATAATATGCGATAAAATGAAATAAAACCTCGATAAGTAAAAGAAATGATATCTGAAATAACTTCTAAATATCTGTGTAAAAACCACTGATCAAACTCCCCCAAACTTAAATCGTTGCTTGACCTCAAGTGACCATTATAAGAACTCATGAAAATCACAACATTCTGGTACTCATACGTGAGACATTCGTTCAAGTTGATCAAAAGGTAGTTCGTCTGGCATTCACATGAAGCGAAGAATTTTTTTTGTAAGAACCTTTCAATCTCAAGCTTTCTCTTCGGATACCTCTCTAACTATGCTTTGTATTTCGGTCTTTTTCTGATTTTTCTCCTCTTTCATTCAGACAATCAAATTAAGGCAATGAGAATAATTATAATCATCACATGCACAAGATTATTAAAGATTTCATGTTATTTCGACACCAAATGAGCAACATTTGCTACTTTTAATTACTGATGAAAATTTTAAACTTTGCAGTTACATATTGTTCTTTTTGGACGATGTTTGGAGATCAACTCCCTTTGGACTGAATAACCTGGTGAGAGCTATCAAACTTAGCAAGCCAGATTCCTTTTACCGCATTTTCATTATTTCGTGCCATCTTTCTTTATTTCTCAACCAGTCCTACTTGCATGTGAATCAAGATTATGCCAGACTGTATAAATAAACTACTCGAGGAGTACTTCTCAGGATTCAAGTACCATGGTACAAATCTATACATTAGACTCGTATTCTTGTCATGTTATTCCTAACTTACTACCCTCAAACAACCATCTTGTTGTCTC